CCAAATCCACAAATGAATTCGAACGACCGTGCGAATAATGCTAACTGCATTGTAGCACGAACAAAATCGCCGACCAGAACAAAGAAAAATCTCACTTCCAGAGTCAAAATTGATTCACATGGGGATCCACAGACCGTAGTCACCCCAACAATAGCCAAAAACAACAGTTTCCATCAGCGTTATCACCTACTCTCGCTCCAAAGGATGATATAACCAAGAGTAACCAGTTGACAACCTTCAAAGCCGCGGCTTTTAGCCCACCGTGATAGATTCAAGCGCGTCAGATTGTTTACAGTCAGGAATATGTGCTGTGGCACTCGACCTTACTTTCTCTCTTCCCACTCCCAGGCACCTGTCTTAGCCGGTCAGAAGTCGAGCGCAGGGACTGGGCGCAGTGGCTGACAGAACTGGAGAAAGCGTCTGGGCGCTCTACACGCGCGACCTGGCCACCCAAACGCACGCACCGGGAATTACAAACACAAGTGGAAAGCGACTCGGGTCGCATCTCTATGAGAGAGCGTCATTATGAAGGACCATCGTAGCCTGAGCCTCAATCCATCAGCCAATCACACAACTCACAAGCACAAAACTGGGCCGACTGTGTGGTCTGAGTTGACGCGTCAGTTGGGAACCTTCCAGACCATGACTTTTGGTGTACCACGATAGTTTCGAGCACAGCAGACTGTTTGTAGTGAAGAAGTATGCTTTGGTATTATTAGTTGGGAAACCATCTTTGACCTACTGGTTGCTGTCTTGCAGGTAACGAGACCTCTCCAGCCTATTCGTTTTGGGAAGGACGTCAGTAAGTACTCACGTGTCAAAACGTATGTTTCTGGAATTAAAAGTAACAATTATACAGACACACTTTCAGGCAGCTAGACGAATCCGTAATTAAAGAAAGGCAGAAGGCGTAAAATCGGATGCAGTACACACGGCTCAGCAAATTCAAATAGCATCATTGCAGTAATTAGACTCCAGCAGCAGTAAGCACACATCCAGGGCGGAGACCTACCTTCAGTGTAGTGGTTAACCAGTGAAAAAATATCACCAGCCACGATCACAACAGTACCTGGCCTGTCACTTCTACCTTTGTTTTCGTCGCAAATGATGGCTGAGACGCTTTCGGCAACCTCTTCTAAAAAGGTACACAAATAGGGATACGAAGGTACGTAGAACACGAAGGCCTGTTGCTATTGTCCTCTGTACCGACTACGGCCATAAATCATTCGCCGCGAAGTAATACTGCTAGCTACATTGCGTGTTTTTGGCCATGGCTTCCGCTGGTCACATGTCTGATTCAGGGATTGGGCCTACTGGCTGAAAAAATAGAGAACTCGTCTATATTTGCCATATACAAGACTTGACCCTCACGCACAACACACAGAGGTTTCCCACAAGGGGATTGAATTTCTCAGATCTCACATGTGTATGATTGCCATATAGGGGCCGCTTTAAGGAGGAGCCATTGTATTCTCACTCTCAGTCCGCCGATGGGCACTTCGCACGAACACAGACTGGACTGACTGTGAGGTCAAAGTTACCCCGCTAGTTTGCCACCTTCCAAACCACGGCTTATAACGCATCGTAATGGTCTCACATGATTCAGATTATTCACGACGAGGAAAATGTGCTGAGAGTCGGCCTCACCCTCGCTTCCCTTTTCCATGCACCAAGTGATTGCTCGGGCCGGTCAACCAGCTGATGCTGACATTGGGGGAGGTGGCTGACAGGGCTGAAAACAACTCGTCTGCACGTGTCGCGCACATGACCTTGAACCCACAAACACATGAGCCTCGCTTACAAAGGGGGTGAGCTGCTGGGACCTCACAAGTATCAAAAGGGTCATGTGAAGGAGCCAAAGAAAACACTTCCTCTTTACGTGAGAGTGGCCTAATTTGTGTCTGCATTGTGTGATGTCGGATGTGTTCATGTTTGGTGTACGTGTTGGTGGGGGTATGTGTGCTGATGTGGTTTACTCGGTGATAGACAATGACACGTTTTTATGGAAGGGCATTTGATGGCTGAATGTGCGAGAGCGATGAGGACGGCTGAGGGGATAACGACGGGGCATGCTGGCGCCGCAGACAGTGGTTCGCAGGTCTCCGGACGATGGATTCGTAAGTGACTGATCAGGCCGATATGTGGTGTAAATCTACGACGGCACTGTCGGGAAGATAGATCAGAAGCTGCAGAGTCCGTTGCGCTGGCGTGCCGATGGCGACGGCCGCTCTGGCTGATGCGCAATCGATTGGGCCCGAGATGAGAGAGTTGGCGGATACGCAGTGGCCCTACTGCGAGCGCCTGTCTCAACCCTGGGCCTCCGCGAGTGTCTGCTCGTGCGCACCAAGGCTTTCTGGCATTCGCCCACTCGGCTTTCTAACTGAACAATCAGATTCAAGGCCGAATCAGACGTGGCCCATCTTAGGACGCTTTCACGAAGACCCTGGCACACACTTGAGACGCCGCTGACCCGGCCCTGGACGTGAACTCCTCCGGATGTCAACTCTCTCCAACTCCTTCTCCAGTTATTCTTTACAGAATATATTATCAGTATCAGTATATTTCAGGAAAACTAGGTGTGTACCTTTGAAATCCCTATTGCTTACATGCCGAGGATATATATGGAGGAAATGGAAAGGAAGTAACATGAAAGAAACGCGAGGGGAATAGCAAAAACTGTACAGATGAACACATAATGTCATGCGTTAACAGAATTTACAGGCACATTAACTTGCTTTGTTGATCAAATACAGCGGACAGTTGAGGCACACTTAAGATACGGGAAAAGAAGTAAAATTGTTTGGTCTACAGGCATCGTGGTGAATGCGAACAGCGGTGTGCGACGTGGCCCAAACTTAATAAATTGGTAGTAGCGTCGTTATAACACTACATTGTCAACGTCGGCTGTCAAGGTGGCCGTAGTCCGGCGTTATTGTGGTGCGCGCTACAATGCTGATCTAGCCTCCATTAGAAAGTATCTACCGAGCCCGACATAACAACATCCTCAGGCAAGGCATTCCAAGCTGCAACCACTCTGTTGGAGAAGAAGAACTGTCGAGTGTCTTGCCGGGCACCAGCCACACGCAGTTTAAGTGAATGGCCTCTCAGGTTAGTCTTAGTCGCCAACTCGAAGAAGTCTCCAAACGCGAGGCAGCAGTCCTCATTGCGCAAGATGCGGAAAACTTGTATCAGGTCCCCACGTAGCTGTCTGTGACTCAAAGGAAAGAGGTCAAGATTAGCTAATCGTGTTTCGTAGGGTAGTGACCACTGCCCAGATACAAGTTTTGTTGCTCGCCGTTGAACTTTTTCGAGTATGCCCAAGTCTTTAGCGGTCCAGGGTCGCCATGCTTGGATAGAAAACTCCAGATGCGGTCGCACAAAAGTTTGAAAGACCTTGGCGAAGCAGTCTTCATCAACGAAGGAGAACGCCCGTTTGACAAGGTATAGCATGGACATCGCCGACTTGGCCACCTTTGAACATTGCAGTGAAGGCTTAAGCGAGGTTGTGATCCATACACCCAAGTCCTTTTGGGCGTCGACTTCTTGCAGTGGTTTGCCAGTCAGACGGTAGATCGTGTGGTTAGGAGAACTGGTTCTGCCGACGCGTAGGAAAGTACACTTGTTTACGTTGAACGGTAGAAGCCAGTCTTTCGACCATTGCTCGGGGTGGTTCAGATTTGTCTGCAGTCGCGCCTCGTCAACTTCGCTTCGTATGGTACTCCAGATCTTTATGTCATCGGCAAACATTGCGACATCGCAATTAAGTTCGTTTGCGCAGTCATTGACGTATACGAGGAACAGTGTAGGGCCAAGAACAGAGCCTTGGGGAGCACCACTCTTAACGGCAACCTCGGCAGATTGTTGGTCACCGACGTGGACGGCTTGAGAGCGGCCAATTAAAAAGCTCCGAATCCACATCAGAAGCTTACCTCGCACTCCTGCACGGCTAAGTTTGTATAGAAGGCGGTGGTGAGGCACACTATCTAAGGCCTTTTTAAAGTCGATATAGATGGCATGCACCATATCTCCTGTATCAACAGCCCTAGTCCAGTGTTCCAGACAGTAGAGCAGGTTTGTCACACAGGATAGGCTTCCAACTGGTGTCCATATTCTCTTTCCATTCAGGACCGGGCTTGAAGGTGGTGGTAGCCAGGGCCGCACTCTCGACCTAGCCTGCAGCGGTTTTTGCAACCCCGACGTGATGCTAACACGCAACCGCACAATTATCACGAATTCCTCTCTTAGCTTCAACGCACTTTGCCTGGGTCGTTTGATGTGACCGCGATGCGGAGAATCCAGCTGTCGACATCCTGCGTGAAAAGAACCGGGTGCCATCAAACAAACTCGGCCCACCGAACCCAGGCCATGTTTGCGATCCCGTCCCATAGAGCAGTACCGAAATCAATGTCAGAATCCAGACGTTCTTCCCACTATCTACTATCCAACTTCCTCAAATACCAGCGGTATCTCCCCGCCCAATTACACAAGCACCGACACGGCACATGGATTTACCGTCGACGTGCAAATCAACAACTTCATCATCCAGTTTCTGCAGCGACTCCTGTCATCCTGGTCCATTTCCGCTATTTGCAACCGTCCACGCTGCCAAATAACAATACCTTTGGTACGTTTCGCATTCACTCAGCCTGACTAAATATTCTTGCCTTTGTTCGGCTTTTTTTCATCCAAACTTTGGTCTGGGGAGGTAGCAGATGTGCAAGGTGTGCCAATATTGCGGCAAATTCCGTTGTCGTGGAAACGCTTATAACCAACTAGGCTCTTATAATGAGTGAATGTACGTGGTCATTGCGGCCAGCGGAGATGGTTGCGACGACTGTATGCGAGGGGTTCCTTTTATTGGTCCGCCGGTCCCAGTACGACGGGTTCTCAAGATGCACGAGATGAATGTGCTATCGCAATGAGGACAGGTTGGGGTCGAGTCTACATTTCTGGTGGTAGCAGTGAAGGTAGTTGTTTATGGGGCGTCGGGAGGGTGCTCGTCAGTGACGGCATTTGGGGAGGTGGTAGTCGTCGTCGTCGTTGCAGAGGTTGAGGAAGGAACGATCGAGTGGCAGTGATCGGCGACGGCGGGGATCAGGGGTGTGACCACCAATTATGCGGGTGGTCGTTGCTGGATCCGTAGCGGTTGATGTAGAAGTGACAATAGGGGTGCTTGCGGAAGCAGTGGATGAGATTTTGGGCTCATCGTTTTCCTGGGTCCGCACGAGGCCAATCCCTAAGCGAAATGTTTTTGACAGCGCAGTCATGTTGGAAGGAGTTAGGTGTTGACGTTGTTGATTCGAGGCATTTGAAACTTGCCAACTGCTCTTTCAGCCTTGGCAACGGCGATCCGGTGGGTCACATAGGTTGCCACTCCTGTCTTTATCGTCCATATCCATAGCGGCCGATCCTGGGCGGGGTTTCCTCAGGCCATGCGGTGTGTTAAAAAAAGGTCCAGAGATTTATCCACGAGCGTTCGTGTAGCATTGTTGGTGTTCCTGTTGTCGACGAGCATCCACAGCTACATCGCCCCAGAAGAGTTGTTTTGGTAACCGCTCATCGCCTGTCCTCACGGGGTGGCCGCTCCATGGCATTGGCAGTTGCCTCAGCCTGGTGTGGATGCTGAGAATTCCGGTGCGCTCCAAGATTTCTGTGTCAGGAGTCCTGTTCTGTCACCTCAGCCTAAGTGTCCTCCGGAGACAACCGGCGTGGAGGTGATTGAGGTTCCGTGCATATTTCTTGCAGACTGCCCAGGTCTCCGCGCGTACATCAGTACCGTCAAGGTAGCAGCTTTGTGCATCTTGAGCTTGGCATTGATGTGAAGACCGTGTCAATTCTATGCAACGTCCTGCAGCCGGCTGATGGCATGGTTGGCTTTGGAGATCTGCTGGCCCACCTCACTGTCATTTTGATGCCTCTTGAGAGTGTCCTGCCCACGTAGGCGAAGTTTTTCACGGTTTCATTCGGGTGTCTTTGACTTGGAAGCGAGAATCATTGTGCGCAACATTAGGTAGCCGTTAATGCGCGACCACCGCCTTGTCCATGTGAATAGTCGGTCAGCAATTGGGGCAGCCGTTGCAAATCTGCTTCTGCCGCTGAGTCGATCGCGCAGTCGTTCGCGAACAGTAGATCGTGGACAGCAGTCGTGGAGAAACGCGTTGGGGCCCGCATACGCCGACTATTGAGATAATGGCTGTCGGTCCTGTAGACGATGCTGACCCTAAGGTGCTTATCACGGTAAGCGTCAACCAGCATGACGCATCACAGGAGACTGAGGAGGTGGGAGCGGGTACACAGTCCTGCATATATTTATGAGACGGTCCCATTGCCTGTGACGCGTGTCACCATCCCGTCATTGAGCTGACGCGCCATGTGTGTGAACCTTTTCATGAGAGCTGAATTTCTGCATGATTTTCCATAGTATACCGCGATTCTCCGTGTCGAGTGCCTTAGTCAGGTCCACAGAGGTAGTGTAGAGGTGAGTCCGCAGTTCCTGGTATTTCACTTGCAGCTGGTGACTGTAGAGGTCATGTTGTCGATTCTGAGGTGACGTCGGAAACCACATAGCTTCTTGACGGTTGAGGGGGATACGAGCAAAGATCTTCGCGGCGAGGTTGGGAAGAAATATGCCTCTGCAGTTATCACAGACATGCCGGTTTCCCTTCCGCTTGTAGAGCTGGACGATTGTCTAGCCCTTGAAAGGCTAAGGAAATTGCCCTCATTGCCACATCTTTTGGAATACCATTGTAAGTTTGTCCATCTGCCGGGGATCACGTCGGATCCCAGGGTTTTCCTGCTCCACAGGTGGTGCCCGGCTCTGAATGTGGATGTGGGATGTCTATGTCGTTATTAATTTTCACATGAAGGAGACAGTTGATAGCGCTTTCGAAGAAGGTGGATGCGACTTTAAGAACATTTTTGAGCTCCTCGGTCCAGCGTTTCAGAATCTGCGGTTTCCCTGTCTAGAGTGTTTTTTCGTCGGGGCTGAGCGATGGCGTGGTTCCTTCGATCCAGGAATCGTTGACTGCCTTGATGAAGGCAAAGAGGTTCTTCGCTTGATTGCGGCCCGAATGCATTTGGATTTCCTTCGTCTTGCGATTCACCGGGCGTCTTGCCTCTTCAGCAGTCGTTGCTATACAAAGCAGCTTTACCTGTGCCTGCACGACATTTGGCACATGCTATGTGCAGTCTTTCCTTCTTGACGTGCGGACTGTGGATATTTCCGCCGCTGTTTTCAAAGAAATCATGGACTTGGTGAGGTGCCTGGCCGAGGATGTCTAAGGCGTTGGAAAGGATAGTGTTCCGCATTTAGTACATCTGTGTCTTCATGGTGGTGTTATAGTTTGGGGCCCGTATTTTTTCTAATCACTGAGCTCGCTGATTGTTCAAATCAAAGGCGAAGGCCCGCAAACTAAGCAGAACAGTATTGGACGTATCCGGTGCTCACTTACCTTAGGGTATCTTTTGGGGTTGCATTCGGAGCCTCAACTTGGAGACGACGAGGCGGTGATCCGTTCAGCCATCGGCGTCGCACATAGTCTTGATCCTGTCGACGACGCCGCCAAACGAGAACGCAGTCCAGCAGCTGCCAGCGCGGCAAGTGAGGGTGCATGCAGGTCGCCTTCTTCAGCCCCTCAAAGAGGCAAACGTAGGGTAATAAGGTTGTCGATGACGCCCTACGGCGGACAGTACAGTCGCTCAACGGTGGCGTTCCGGATGACAAAGGCTATACGTCCGTCGCGTCTCTGTACCTCTGAGCGGCCGCTGGGAAGAATGTGTTTCCGGTACCCAAATTCTCCTGCTGACCGGGCTCGGAGACTCGGATCTCATTGAGAGTAGCGATGTCCATTTTTAGCGAGCCAGTTTCCGAGAAACTGTGCCGTCTACCTTTCCGACGGTTGCCCCTCGCATTTTTCTAAAAGACGACGAGCATTTCAGGCGGCCAATGTGAGCGGACGCACTCTGGAAGCCAGTAAATTGGGTGGGAAAGATTGTTTTAGTCGTTGTTGTTGTCGATCGTTTGGTTGTCTCGACCGTGAGTTTGGAATCTGCAAGCCACGGTAGGCTTGTCTATGACGTGAATCTAGCATTTATTTGGAGACCTTATCCAGTCCCTTCCCTTAGGAAGACGTAAACGGTGCTATACCAGACTACGGCTGCACCGATAACCCAGACGGCTGTCGAGCGTTACTAAATTGCGCAACCTCGTTTAATGGGAAAACGACCAGGGTTAGCCTGGGCCCCCTACTTGATTGCATGTTATCCTCGTTCTAGGACTTATTGGGAGTGGGGATAAGGGAGGGAGGGAGGATAGATGGGAAGGGGAGCCGAATTACTGGGTGTGAAGACACACACACAACACAGATTACTCCCTTCCTGTTTAGCGTGCCCGCCAAGGCGATTACAGGGGTGTGGTCATTAGGCAGAGCGTACACTTGGGAACCACGGATGAGAGGTGAACGTCACTTAAGGACCGTGTGGGGCTGTCAGTACCTGCATGCTGCGGTTCACACTGTTTTCACGATTTGCCCCTGGACTAGACACCCCTGCCGATCTAACCTTCAAAGACATACATAGGTAGAATTTTATGCGGACGATTTAGAGGTGGTTGGACAGTTGAAAACTGTGATATTCAGAGAAGCTACGGACACAGGGCAAGTACCATACTTCAACAGCAATCGCGCTCTCCCTCACGAGAGCATTTGTGTCTTCACTCCATTCCCAAGGGTTGAAGCACGCTGATGCACGCCAAACAGCCATACGAGGTAAACGATCATTACTTTAGAACCTCTGCAAAGTCAATGAATATCCTAGCCATTATAGTGGGAAAAAAGGCGCAAAGCGAACAGATAACGACCAGATTAGTGGCGACCCGAAATCTGGGTGATCATTCCTTGCATTAAAGGGGTCTTTGTGGCTGTTTTCGGCTGTTCCAACCCACTAGAGGAGGCATATCATATTGAACTCATGCAACATTTTGCTGTACGGATCCGCTGCCACTCATCCAATCGTCAGCAGTGGTCTCCAAAATAGGTTATAATGTTAGGGAAATTGGGCGAAAATTGCAGACCCGTCTACAAGAGCATAAATAGGCAACTTGACGGCTAAACCCGGGTGTCCAACGTGCAACCACGTAGGAGATACTGGCTGCGTAAGAACTCTCTCAAAATTCGAGGAGCCCGATCCCAGCTGAATGTCTGTAAGTACTCGTTTTTGCAGGAAGTTGTTGGTTCCTGGAACGGACCCCTCGAGGAAGTGATTATGGCGGACTCAATACAGACAGCTAACCAGTGACTAGATGTACATTTACCCGAGAATACCGCTTAACTAAACAGGAGAGTTCTGTTATACTAAGTCAACTACTTGCGTATACCTACCGCCAATGCGAGTGATTATCATTTCTCATTTAACATTACCATCCCCAACTGAGGGTGCCTGGCATGTAGTTACGCAATTTTGAGCACAATGGTAGGCGAACTGCACATGCTACTGACAAAATTTTAACAGCATGTTTATTTGGAGTTAAACGTTGTGTGTGCCTTTGTCATTCGAGTCTTCAAAGGCACTACGCATTATACTTGAATATGCTTAACTATACTAAGTATATACCTAACTAATATACCGAATCAACAATTTTGTGACGGTACAACGCAAAGGCAGAAGGACTAAAACTTGTGACGTGCTACTCAGATACCGATTTCATCAACAGCTATCTTGACCTTCTTGCAGCCTATAGTATTGCGCCATCACGTACACAAAAGCCATATCACAGCAGACACATAGAGCTTCAGAGGCTTGCTTGGTGGAGAAGAAGAGTCTCCAGACCGAATAACCCCATGCGGAGGCTCAACTACCCTCATCGTGGTGACTCGTGATGCACCCATTAGGCAATTAGGTCAACTATCCTCCAAAATGTCGAGGTAACTAAGAAAGAAAAAATCAGTCATAACGAGATTGAATAGCACGGCACACCACTTATATTTCCGTTCAGCAAAGTCGGCGATGGCCACCAACCCCAACTAAGTCTTGTCGGTCACGTCGTTAATGTGCTTGAAGATATGAGAGATCTGGGTGTATCATACTCCAAGAGTCTTAAGCTTTCGGAGCACTGCGCCCTAATAGTCTCCAAAGCACGCAGAACAACTGGATTTATCCTCCGAAATTTCAAAACCAACGATATAGAATGTGCCTTTACAAATGTACGTCAGACCTGGCCTGGAATACTGTTCTTGGTAAGACAAATTCCGCCGTTCCGAGGTTAAAACTCTGTTGGGGAAAAATTCTGGACGGATTCTATTTTCTTCCACTCAGCAACACGCATGAGGCTTAATTCATGCGTGTTGCTGAGTGGAAGAAAATAGAATCCGTCCAGAATTTTTCCCCAACAGAGTTTTAACCTCGGAACGGCGGAATTTGTCTTACCAAGAACGTTGCGAGCTTACAGGTCTTTGTCTCTTGTGGTTTCGTCGATCACAAAGGGGACGATTTTTGCTGCGTGAGATCTTAAACAATCGTGCTTTTAACCCGCTCACTATTTTAAAACATCTTGACCAACCCCAGCGTAATAGTCACCGTGAGGTCTTATTATTCCTTTCTCTGGCATGTACCGTTAAATATCGTCGATTCTTTTCTGTAAAAGTAATTGCGATTTGCAACAACTTACCCAGTTCGGCAAAATTTTTCTTTGTTTAAGAGAACCTTTACTGTTTTTTTTGCAGTCAGAAAATCTGCCACACGTTTTGGGTGACGATTCCACCGATTTAATCTAACGTATTGATGGAGTTCGTGGCCTCTGATTCCCTGGAATGTCTCACTACGGACAATTTCTTCAGCCGCCAGCAAACAACGGTTTTTCACGAACACGATACAAATGACATGAAAAACACCAAGGAGCCGGACTACAGGAATCGCAGGAATCCGGAAAAAGGCTATAGACGTCACGTTTTGCGAAACAAGGGGCAGCGAACGAAGTCACTAGACAACTCCTCCGCCTCAATCGAAATGGAAGGGAATAAAAGAAGACAGACGGAGATGGAACTAGTGCTCGCATTTCAATAAATTTGACAAATTTGGATCATACAGAGTCCGTCTGCCACAAAATAAACCAGCGATCGACAACTCCAAAAAAACTGTAGGCAGTAATCGTATGGACTTCCCTACACCACAAAAGAACGCTAGCAGCTTGCCCTTCACACGTATATCAAGCTATAATGCAAGAAGTTATATGAGGCAGTCAAATAAAAACGTTACAGCATATATCACGAACATGAGTAACTTAGCAACTGACCTGGAAACAGTTATAAAGGCAGTCCCAGGGTCTGCCGCCAGCAAAAAAGGGCAGGATGCAACCACCAGTTTTCCCCGAGAGATCACGTTGTGTGGTAGTACAAGGAGATCCTGAAGCTCCTGGTGACACCCCGAAAGAGTGGGTGAAGCACGACCTGCTGACATTCCAGAACATACTGAATGACAGCCATGAACCCGCTGAGGTCGTCGAAATCCAAAATATCTCCCGTTTGGGACCTTTATTTAGAAACAACGCAGAGGACTTGCGACCGAGCCCGCTAAAAGTCGTATTGGGAAACGAACAGCAAGCAGATCTCATCTTGTTCCGAAAGTCTAGGCTTCGAAACAACCATCATGGAATGTTTTTCAACCGGACTATCATCCAATCGGACGGATAAAAATGAGAACGCTGATAACGAAACTGAGAAAACGTCAGGGCGAGGGCGAAGTGAATCTGAGAGTAGTAAACAACCAAACTGCAACAATAGGGCATTCTTTTTGTGGAGACCTCCGGTGAAATTGACAGTAAATGCACCGGCGTTCAGTTCCGACAAACTTCAGTAAGTTCAATATCGATTAGTGGACTTGGTACTCCATGCGAAATATCCAGTAGTAACTATCAGGCAAAAACACAAGCAAGCAATTTCAAGAGATCTAAACAACCGCATAATATAAAAATGATGTACACAAATGTGCAGAGTTTATTCAACAACTTGGATGAAATAAAACTGATCGTGGCCCATTTAAAACCCGACTGGATAACTCTAACAGAAACATGGTTAAATTAAAAGATAAAAGACGTGGAAGTTATGCCGGATGGCTTTCCGCTTCTCCGAATTGAACGAAAGAATGAATGGGTGGGAGGATTGCGATATTTACATGAGATGGCATTGACTACGTCAGAGCTGAGCCTTCCTCATTTAGGGACATAGGTTGTGAAATACTCAGTTGTGATTTGAAAGTGTCAAACCGTTCACCCCTCCATATGACCCTGGTTTTCAGACCGTCGGGACAGTGAACGCATTCGGACGATGCACGAATTTGGCAAAGCAAACACATAATGCTACTTGATGATTTTAACTCTCCAGACGTCGATTGGTCTTAAATGCACTGCATGCGGTCGGAAAACTCCTTCGAACATAACTTTATTCAAATGATCATTGATGAGTTCCTTACCCAACACGTTAGCATGAACACATGATCCCGAGACGGACAGCAGTCAAGTTGTTTGGATCCCATTACCACTAGGGATGATATTTGCATTCTCGGATTGGGCCCGCCCACACCCCTTGGCCGAAGGGGCCAGTGCGTTCTTGTTTTGGAGTA